GCATGCTGGAGTATGAGCCCGCCGCCCGCATCAGCCCACTGGGGGCTCTGCAGCACGGCTTCTTCCGCCGCACGGCTGATGAGGCCACCAACACGGGGCCGGCAGGCAGCAGTGCCTCCACCTCGCCCGCGCCCCTCGACACCTGCCCCTCCTCCAGCACCGCCAGCTCCATCTCCAGTTCTGGTGGGTGCTCAGTGCCAGATAGGGTAGAACACGGGTGGGGGAAGCTCTGGTTTGGCCTAACCTGGGGAGGCCTTGCCACTGGGCCTTCACCTAGAGCTTTGAAACTGCAGGATCCTGAACTCCAGGATGGGTGGGGCAGACAAGCTCAGACTGGCCCCAACCTAATCACTGAAACCGAGCTTGGACTCAGATGGCTAAAACTGGTTCTGACTCTGCCCAAACTGAACTTTGACCTGATCCTTCAAATGGGCGCTGGTCCCAAAGCCCAGAACGGGGCATGAACCTGACTCTACCACCTGAAAACCCAGCTCCACCTCTCCTTGCCTAAGGCCTCTCCTCTCCTCCCCTGGCACTTCCAGGAGGCTCCAGTGGCTCCTCCAGTGACAACCGGACCTACCGCTATAGCAACCGATATTGTGGGGGCCCTGGGCCTCCCATCACTGACTGTGAGATGAACAGCCCCCAGGTAATGGGGCCTTGGGGACTCTGGAGGTGTGTGGTGGAGGATCTGGGGCTTCAGGACCTAGGTCTCCATCACCCACTGTTCCTTTGCTCTTTTAGGTCCCATCCTCCCAGCCGCTGCGCCCCTGGGCAGGGGGTGATGTGCCCCACAGGACACATCAGGCCCCTGCCTCCACCTCGTCACTGCCAGGGGCTGGGGCCCAGTTACCCCCCCAACCCCGATGCCTTGGTCGCCCCCTATCACCAACCTCGCCACCACCCCCGGAGCTGATGGATGTGAGCCTGGTGGGCGGCCCTCCGGACTGCTCCCCGCCTCACCCTGCGCCTGCCCCCCAGCACCCGGCTGCCTCAGCCCTCCGGACTCGGATGACAGGAGGTCGTCCACCCCTCCCACCCCCTGATGACCCTGCCACTCTGGGGCCTCGCTTGGGCCTCCGTGGTGTACCCCAGAGCACGGCAGCCAGCTCATGACCCTGCCCCCTCCCTGGGGCCCCTCCTGAAGCCATACCCCCCCCCCCCATCTGGGGGCCCTGGGCTCCCATCCTCATCTCTCCCCTTGACTGGAATTGCTGCTACCCAGCCGGGGTGGGTGAGGCCTGCACTGATTGGGGCCTGGGGCAGGAGGTCAAGGAGAGGGGTTTAGGCTCACCCTCCCCGCTAAGGACTGGACCCTTGGCCCCCTCTCCCCCCTTGTTTTCTATTTATTGTACCAAAGACAGTGGTGGTCCAGTGGGCAGGGGGGAGAGCCCCCTCACCCCAGGACCCTAGGAGGGGGTGGGGGCAAGTAGGGGGAGATGGCCTTGCTCCTCCTTGCTGTACCCCCCAGTAAAGAGCTTTCTCACATGCCCGCCTGAGCGTTTGCAGGGCCTCGGCTCCCCTCACTTAACCCTCAGAGGCATGGTGGGGAATGGTGTTTGTGGAAGGGGTGTTGGAATAGCTTTGTCGTGTGGGCTGCGCCCCGGGGAAGTTGTGGCTGTTGGTGCAGACGTGGGGCTGTAGGAGGATGGGCTGTAGATGGGAGATCCTGGATACAATCCTAGGCCAGTTTGCCTTTTCTAGGGTAAACTGAGGCCTTGAAAGGGTAGAGGCCCAGCTCTGGCCTGTCTCTGGGAAACAACAGGTTCTGCCCTAATAAGCTAGGGCTTCCACAGAGTCTGCACAGGCATGGCTCCTTTTGCCGGGCATCCAGTAGGTGCTAAGTGCTTGCAGCAGGCCTTATTGGTGCCATCCAGGGAATGGCAGGCAGGCAGTGGGTACAGAATTTATCCCTGACACTTTTGGTCTCACCATTTAGAACCATTGCGAACAAAGTGTTTTGAGATTCTTGGGCAAAATGGTACTCCCAGGATTCCAGGTAAGTGGGCCTGTTTCCATGGTAATTCCAATCGTCCAGTCAAGCACCGTCAAATTCAAAGGGTACCGTCCCCTATCACTGGGGCGCGGCGCTTCCTGGGAAATGGAGTTCTACGGGGCAGTCTCTTTTTCCAATTTTTCCTTAGGGAACTACAAAGGCCAGAATTCTTTTCGCTCGCGTGCTTAGGGGCGGGTTCTCCAGCAGCCAATCGGCAGTCAAAGGCAGCCTGGGCCCGGATGCCTAAGGCGGGCTGTAGAGGAAGAGAAGGAGGTAATTGGGTGACTTTGGCCAGACTGCGCAAGTGCTGAGTTCTGTAAGGCACGCGAAACGTGAGTTTCTGGGCTGTGTCGGGAGAGGTTGCGGGTTAGGCGTTCGTGGTTACCGAGCAGGAGTTAAGCGCGTAGGCAGGCCGGAAGAGACCCCACCACCCGGGGTGTTACTAGCCGCTGTGTTCGGTGCAGCTCGAAGGAGGCCCCAGTCGGTAGGAGAGACGGGCAAAGGCCCCATTACGGACCTGCATGTGTTCGCTAACGGAGGCAGCGTGGAACGTGGAGGTCCGCCGGCGGTAAAGAAACCTTCGTGGAGGGGCGGGGGCGGGGAGCTGTTTGAGCTGAGACCTGAAGATGGAGGGATGTTTGGGGATGGCGCTGGTGCGGTGGGATGGCTTGCGCAAAGGCAGCAATGAGAAACAGCCCTGTGTGTTAATGAACTGCAGGTGATCTGGTGTTGGTGGAAATCTTATTGAAAGTGCTCTGTGAATTAGATCATGGGAGATTTTGTTGGCCATTTAGGGAATTGGGACTTTGTCCCGAGGGCAGTGAGGAGCCTCGAGAGGCTTTCCGGAAGGAGTATGGCCCAGTGTGCCATACTCCTAGCCGTCTGGGACTAGGTTGACTGGAAAGACACTAGAGTCTGGGAGCCCAGGATGGCAGCTGTGGCATGATTCTAGGCAAGAGATGTCGGGGATGGACCAGGGCAGGGATCTTGGATGGGAGGGGAGGATGGGTGTGGGTGGGGAAGACTTACTGAAGGCTGAGCTGACAGGGTGACACGCTGTGTGGGAGAGGGAGGTGAAGAGGGGTGGGAAAGGGATCTCACCACGTAGAACAGTGCCTGGTATATCGAAAATGCTTAATAAAATTTTTTTTGAATGAACAGTCCTAGGAAGCTACTACCAGTGTGATCTACATTTTGCAAATGATGTTAGTGCTGATAGAGAAAATTGACTAACTTGCCTAAGATTACATGACTAGGAAATGGAGGGCTCAGGATTTGTGGTGTGTGTGTACCATTGATTTAGCAAAGTGCAAGATGAGCCTCAAGACGTCAGTAGTCAGATCATGTAGGTCCTGTAAGGAATTTGTGATAAGCATAGAAATATATTTCCCCAATTTTCATTTCTAGCCCAGAACGTGTCCTCTGTTGACTGATTGCCTACATGATATCTCCTCTTGGGTATCCAGAGACATCTTGAGAGTAACTGTGGCCAAATTGAACTCCTGGTCATTTCCTCAAAACGTGTTCCTCCCACTTTCTTCTCAGTAAATGCCACCTCCATCCTTGTAGTTGTTCAGACCAAAAGCTTTGGAGTTGTCCTTAACCTCTCTCTTTTGTCTTAAACCCACATCTGGTTCATCAGCAAACACCTTCAAAGGTATTTTCAGAACCTGACCATTTCTTCCCCCCTCCACTCCTGCCACCCTGGTACTGTCCGCCTTCATCTCCTGCCTAGACCATCAGTGGTCTCCTTGCTCCCCACTGTCTGCCCCTCACATGCAGCCAAAGGGACACTGAACCCCTGCATCTGGTCATATCCCTCCCCTGCTTAGTATCCTGTGATTCCATCTCACAGGAAGTATATGCCACATTCCTCTCCGTGGCCCCTGCACAGTCTTTCCCTGTTACTTGACATCATCTACTCCCCCTCCTGTTCACTCAGCTCCAGGCACACTGGCCTCGGGGGCCTCTGCACTTGCTGTTCTCTTTACCTGGAACAGTCTTCTCCCAGATAGTCAAGGTGGCAAATCTCAGCTGTTACCTTCTGCTTGAGATCTTCCTGGATCACCTCATAGAACTATACCACTAACATTCATATCTGTCTTCCCTTTAACTTTTTCCTTAGCATTAATCATATCACTACTTAACACGCCATATAACTTATTTTTCTTGTTTATTGTCTGTCTCCTGCCGTAGCAGCCATAAGCTTCATGAGGGAAGAGGCTTTGGTCTACTCTGTGCTTTATGTCTAACACCTAGGAGAGCTCTTGATGTGTCGTACAGACTCAGTAGCTGTTGAATGAGCACATGGATGATCTTATAGTGCAGATCCTGATCCCAGCATCCTCAGGACTTTGTCCGTCCCCCATGCATGGAATTTTAGGGGCTGCCTTCAAGTTTTCTCAGACATTCAGTAGGCATTTCACCTTGCCTCCACTTTGCACTCAGAGTTGAGAGCACAGCAGGTAACAAAATTGTTTCCCAATCCCCAAAGGGCTCACAGTCTTGGGGGTGGAGGTTCGGATTGTCAGCTTATCACACAAATATAAAAGTACAGAGAAAGGTAGAGTGTCATAAGGGTGCTTGAAGAAACCTAATCTGGACCCTAGGAGGTGAGATTTGCAGTGGTGAAGGAGGCGGCACTAACCCAATTAAGAGGTAAGTGTGTGTGTGGTAGTTGGAACCCAGAGGCTGAGAGTGAGCAAGAGGCCCGACCACGAAGTCCTGTTAGGGTTGTGTGTCCTTCCCCACGTGCAGTGGGAAGTTGTAGAATTTTAAGCAGTGGAAGGAGGCATGGTCGGTCATGTGTGATTCCTCAGGCTGTTGTGTGGGGAACTGACTGGGGGGATTTAGGGCTGGAGTAGAGAGACGAGCAGGTAGGCTGTTAGCAGGAAAGTAAAGTAGCTGCTGCCAAAGAAGGCCGCACACTCTTTTCCATTTCCTCCTGTGGAGGTGGAGTTTCCTCTTCTTTAGTCTGGGCTGGCCTGTGACTTGTTTTGACCGACAGGCTGCATGGAAGTGACACTGTGCTGATTGGGGGGCCTGGGCCATAAAGGCCTGGCGGCTTGTACTTTTACTCTCTTGGAGCCCTGGGCTGCTGTGTAAAGAAGTCCAGCCACCCCACTGTGGAGGGATGTGGAAAGAGAGAGGTCCAGTTAGCCCCCAGCTGTTCCACTATTTTCGCTGTTCCACTATTTTAGCTAAATCAGACCTGAGTGATGCCATCTTGGATAGTCCAGCCCAGCTGCCCGCTGACACCATATGGCATACAGACCACCCATCCCAAGTCAGCTCCTCCACAGAGGCTGGTCCGTTACAGAATCGAAGCAGATGAAGTGGTTGTGATTTTAAGCCACTGTGTTTTGGGGATGACTTGTTACCCAGTAGTAGCTGACTGAAACGAACAAATATTTTTTTGAGATCTTAACCATTTTTACATACTAGCTCATTTAGTCCTTACAATCAGCCTATGTAATATTATTATTGCCATTGTATGAGGAAACGAGGGCACAGAAAAGTTAATGAAACTAGCAAGATACGTGACGCATAGTAAGGGCTGAGCGTGCATTAGGAGTTGTCAGGATCATGTTCATCAGCATCAAAATTTTCATGATTGTTAAAGAAGTGGAGGTAAGATGAATGAAAGCGTTACTAACCCACTTGAGCAGTATGATTTTAGATAAGTGACTTCACCTTTCTGAGATTATGAAAATGGAGATTGTAATACTATTCATCTCAGAGGGGAATTGTGCGGCATGCAGGGTCTGACAGACAGCAAATGCCTAATGTACGGCAGGGATGATAATTACTATGAAGCATGTGCCCAAGTGTGTTGTGGCCACAAGAATGAAGCCATTTTATTGGAAGGCCTAGTGGAGACAGAAAAGCACCAGGCCTTTGGTGATACTGTTGGAAGTGCTGGATCATGCCTCACCTGAAGGACTTACTAGGGAATCCAGTAAATCTTTTTTTTTTTTAATCATTTAAGCCAGGTTGAATTAGGCTGCTTACTACTTGGAACCAATATCCTAACTGATTTCTGGGGTTTATTCACTTATTTCTTGACTCATCAGAGATTGAGTACTGTTTCAAGCCCTGTTTTAGGTGCTGGTGTTTTAATAGTAAACAAGACCCTCAATAGCCCTGTCCTTGTGGAGCTTACATTCTAATGGGGAAAGGAGATGATTAAATATATATATATTTATATCACCTGTGTATACATAGGTGATAAGAGCTCTTCTTCTGTTCCAGGTAGTGACAGGGGCTGCTGTTTCAGGTGGAGGGATTAAATAAGTTATCTTGGAGGAAATGGTCACAGAGGCAGGACCTGACAGAAAGGGAGGAAGCCAGCCGCGCGTAGTTTGGGAAGGATGTTTTTCCAGATGGGAAAAACAGCAAGTTCAAGGGCCCTGAGGTGTGATTGGCGTGTTGGAGGAGCAGAAAGGAGTGAACTGGACCAGACTGAACCATTCGAGTGGGAGGAAGAGGTGAAGTGCATGCGGGGCCAAATGGGCCCTGGGAAGGACTTGAATTTGCTTCTTAGTGAGATGGGAGCAGTAGGAGCTGAGGGTGACGTGCCTGAGCATCCTGATGGGGTTCCTCCGGCTGCTCCGAGGACGGGGGCCTGGTTCTGCTGCGCTGGTCCAGCTGAGAGATGTGTGGCCTGGCTGGGGCGGTAGCTTTGGAAGTGGGGAGATGCAGTTGGACTTTGGGTACAATCTGAAGGAGGGAGTGGCCAGGACTCGGGTGTGGGGTGAGAAAGGGGCATCGATGACCGTAAGGTTTTAGCCTGAGGAGAGTGCCTGTTAGTGACTGTCTGGGGGAGACTCAGGGAGCTGTAGACACGGTAGCATTGCAGTGGACTTGTGAGCAAGCAGCAGGATACAGGAGTCTGGGATACAGGAGTCTGGCCTTCAGGGGCGAGGTCTGGGCTGGAGATGGAAACATGGGAGTCACTAGCACTTGCATGGTACTGAGGCCCAGGATGAGATCACCAAGGAAAGGAGTGTGGCTGGATCGAGGTCTGGGAGTGAGAGCAGAGAGGCCCGGGAGGAGGTTGCTGTGACTGTCTCGGGGAGAGAGGGGCACAGGTGGGCAAGAGCAGTCGTCTGGATGCACTCTGAAGGCAGAAGCCACAGTGCAGGTGTCGCAGGTGATGCCTGGAGGAAATGGACGAGGGCTTCCTGAGAACAGAGTCGAACGTGGGGCAGCGACCGTTTTCCTCCTCCTCCTCCGGGCCCTGCGGTCTCTGCTGCTCTTTGCATCTGCTGCTTCCTCTGTTTGCAGGCAGCTGGGCTGGGCCTGGGTGCACTCTTGCCCTGACTCTGCACCCTTCCAGTGCAGTGCCCTACAACCCTTCTGGCCCCATTTCAGATTCCCCAGACAGATCGGGCTGCTGGGGTCCAGTGTCCAACCTTGTTCTACCGGCTGTCGCTGAAGGATTCCTGCAGTGTTGATGTCTGTCTGCTGGGAAGGGCTGGGGACTGGGCAGTCACCTCCAACATTCAGTTACACAGTATTCCCGACGGTATATTGGGGACAGGCCTGGGGAGTGAGATTTGACCCTATTTTGCTAGGTGGGTGGGACAGACGGTTTTGTAGCTGCAGGTTTGTTGTGGCTTGGGTGATGGAGTGGGAGAGACCAGGAAGTTGGGATCCGGTAGGCTCTGAGCTCAGAAGGTTTAGGGCTGGGGATCTGACACGGTTAATGACCCTGAGGGCCACCCTCACCGAGCACGTGTCCAGTGCGGTTGGGGGAGTGAGTGGTCAGGGCAGGAAGTGGGAGGCACGGGGGCCTCCTGATCTAGTTTGAGGTATCAGGGAGGACTTCCTGGAGTAGAGGCCACATGGGGTGAGAGCTAAAGAGGCGGATGTAGGGACTTAGGGACTCTGATGGTGACTACTTGTAGCCAAGTCAGGAGGTACTTCACAAAAACTTTTATTTAATAACTTTAGATTTACAGAAAAGGCACACAGATAGTAGAGACTTCCCATATGCTTTATATTCAGCCTCTTCTCATGTTCGTGTCTTACTTAAAGTAACATTTGTCAAAACTGAGAAATTAACACTGATGCGTATCCTACTGAGGGAACTCCCAGCTTTCTTACATCCGCCCGTTTCTCCACTGATGTTCTTCTTCTGTTCCAGGATCCAGTCCAGGATACCGTGTCGCGTCCGTTCATCATGTCTCCTTGGTCTCCTCCACTCTATGACAGTTTCTCAGTCTTTTGTTTCTCATGACCTTGACAGTCTTGAGGAGCACTGGTCAGGTATTGCGTAGAATGCCCCTCTGTCTGGGACTAACTTTCCTCATGGTTAGACCGGGCTGGCAGGTGCGGGGAGGAGTACGCTCAGGTGATGGTGACCTGCCGCCCTGTGCCACGGGCCGCCCACCAGGTTTCCCAACTGTAACATCACAGTTTTTCCCTTCCCTCACTCTGCTTGTTAGAAGCAAGTCACACAGTCCAGCCCGTACTCAAGGGGAGACTTAAGCTCCTCTTCCTGGAGGAAAAAACATCAAAGAATTTGTCTTCTTCATATATCAGAACCACCACAGTTATTAATAAACGTGGGAAGATGTTTTGAGGCTGTGCAAATGTTCTGTTTCTCCTCAGAGTTCTCCCCACGGACTCTTGGCGCTGGTCGCTGGACCTGCACAAATCATCACGGCAGTGTTCTAATGATGCTTTTCTGCTTTCCTCATTTCCCCTGCGTTTCTCACTGGGAATTCTTCTGTAGGAAGATTGATCCCTTCTACCCCATTTGTCTTATTTGTACAGTCAATAATTTATACCAGTACGGACTCACGGAAATTTATTTTTTCCTTTGGCCATAACCCAATACTACCATAATTAACTTTTTCACTCATATTTTTCCCATTTTGGCCAAAGGGGCTCTTTCAGGTTAGCTCTGTGATCCTTACTCTTTTCTTCTTCTCAGGCACTTCCTGACTTTCTGCTGTAAGATGCTCCAGGCTCATGTTGGGTTTTCCCTGCCCCAGCCCTAGAACCAGCCGCTTCTCCTTTGATGGAAGAAGGTATTAGATACCAAGGTCTGGGCACTGGGTGTGGTCACTGCTGCTGAGGGACACTTTCTAGTCCCTCTCAGCTGACAGAGCTGGGAAAGATGTGTACGCGTACAACCCACGTATACACACATACCTGTATTTGTGCGTCTGCGTACAGACACAAATATCTGTGTATAAAAATAAACCGGAGTCCATACTGGTATCTGACTCTAATCTATCTCTAGAGGGTGCTTCTTGCCTCCCCACACCCCCATGTGTTCTTTGTAACTTCCTTCTCTGGCCGAGTGGGCAGTTTTTGGTGTGCATCTTACAGGCCATCTTGGCAAAAATTGACAGTGTTGGCCATTCCCACCTTCTGTAAAGACACGCTTCCCTTGGTTTCTGTGACAACACTGTCCCCTAATTTTCCTCCTGTGTCTTGCTGCTTTGCAAGAAGGTCCTGATTTCACTGATCCCTTAAATGTGGATGGCTCTTCTCTGCTCCACCCCTTGGGCCATTTTACTCTTCTTTTGTGGTCTGCTTCCTGTCTCTGTACTAATGGTGCCCACCCTGCCCTTAGCTCAGACTCCTCCCTGGGCCCCAGATCTGAGAGTCTTGAGGCCTTAAGAAGCCCCTCCCCATCCTACCTATTGGCAAAGGACAGTACGTATCAGCCAGTCCGACCAGTAAGACACATGTGCTGGGGGAGTAGCCAGGACTGGCCGTTGCCCCACATTCAACAACCATCTCATCAAACCCCTAAATGGATAAGTTTTTACAGGGAGACTT